ATTACTGCTCCCCTCTGGGTGAGGCGGGAGGGAGTGTCAGACTCTTACTGACTAAAAACCACCCCGTTCCTTCTCCTGCACGGCGAGCCGGAGCCCCGGTTACCCGTTAGGTTCTCCGCGACAAGTTTGAGAGTCTGTGTTTGATACTCAATCACATCAAAACGGCTAAAGATTTCGATGCAATTTTGAACAGGGGTAGAAAATGGACTGGAATAACATGTAGGCTACTTTTTATCCTACAGGAATGTGAAGTGAACTGACAGTGAAGCCACAGGCAAAGCAAGTATAAAAATATAATGTAAATTCTTGAAACAAAATTAAATCATAAACTAAGAAATCTTGTTCACTTTAATACTTAAAATAAACTTACCACTCTCTTCAGAACTAGAATAATTAACCTTTTTAGGTTTTACTATCCTTTTCCTAGTATAAGTTTTGCCTTCCCTGAAAGAACCACACAAATTATTAAGTATAAAGCAATTAAAATAATACAGCCAATTCATCTCAGAATAAAAAACTAAAAAACCTACATACTATGTACCTAGTTACACTATTATAAGAAAGAACCTTACTTTTTTCGCACAATTTGGTCAAAGACATCCACTTTGCTGGTCACGGACTCAGGCTTATTTTTAGGAGCTTCAACTGGACATGCTGGTGACGAATTCAACAGCATATCGAAGGGATCTAGAGGTTTGTTCACACGTATAGATTTATCAGGCGTCAAATACGTCGACCGGGACAAACTTTCTCGACATGGAGTTCCCGGTTCTTTTACTATCCTTTTCACGTATTTCTTCTTACGAACACGGTTAGAAGCCACTCCGTAAGCATTGGAAGACCCTATACAAGAAAGTTCCCGTTTAGTTTGTTTAATATTTTGAATGAAAAAGGCATCATATGCCGAGCTCTTCTCGTCTAAATTCTGCAACAAATCTCTTCGGTCTATAACACCACCAGTGTCTTTCTTAGACCTATAAGTTCGCCTCATATTTACTAAACATTAATTCACTACTTAATAAATAACATGAAACCCGCGTTCAACGAAATCAAAATAAAATATTATTCAAACTTTCGAATCGACAAACTGAAAAACAAAGCTAGATGACAACTTCAACTTGACAGTTAAACAATACATTTTTGGACAGTTGTTTTGTCTATGGTTAGAAACTTGAAGAAGCAGCAAAACCCCTATATGTACATACATATTTATACTTTCTGCAGTATGTACAATAATTTGCTTAACAAAATGTAGCAGAAATTAATTCAATACTTCATTGTCTATTTTTAGGCTAATATGGTGATTTTCTATCATCATAATTATAATACGCAGATATAAACGACATAATTAATTGAAGATTTCCATAGATGTAAAAGATTTTTCATGGTAGGTAATGCATGACCACGCTGACCATGGATTGGACATCTGTAGATTCTGCTTGAGTCTCCTAATCATTTGCTAAACTTAATTGAATTAGGGTAGAATTTGTATGGTATGGTATACCGAGCACTGCAAAACTACAGGACTGAATTTATTCTCCAAATTTTTGAAAATACGTAGTATTTTGCCCGACCCGGGAATCGAACCCCATAGGCGTCAAGACAGGCAGGCAGATTCAGTTCTTTTATCTTTTTTCTAAACGTTGCCCCACATTAGGATTTTCTCCTGTCGTGGGTGCGTTTACAAACATATAAGTTCACATACACAATGACACCCAGACCTGAACCAACAATTTGTGGATCATACTGTGTTGATCCGTGCGGAAATCGAACCCGCGACACGTTGCGCGGCAGCCGGTTGCCCAGCCACCGCACCAACCGCGCAGTTGTGCAGTTCCTTTAACTTAAAATAGAGGGATTGTATGACGTAAAATATAAAACATAATTTGTGAAGAGTTTATATTTTAAAAATACATTTCCTGTAATGATAAGATGATACACTGTAGCGAACTACACTAATATAATACGGATTTATTTTGAATATTTATGTACACAATAATAATATAATAATAATGAACAAATAGCTTAATTCACCACAAGTTGGGCAAAGATCAATAATCTTTGGCAGAATTCCTTTCCTTTGCAAGTGTTTCCGACTACCTCGCCCTGAAAAAGCTTGAAGATACCATAAAATAATTAACATATGTACATAACTTTAAAACAGCCTGAACACCAATATACTTTACGTTGTATTTTTAATGCATATCAGCATAATGTTAGCTTATTAACTCGTCGAGTACCGGTTTTGTAGACACAATTATAGAACAATAGGTTGCGGTCACCAGTAACCGCTTGGTGTTTGACAAATGGTTCTTGCATAGTGAACCACATTTCTGGTACAGGCCTAGGTACACACTGTTATCTTGTAGCTTACAAATAAAGAAACAGGCCGTTATGTACCTACTCAAGTAACGATTGGTAGCGACCCACCCATGATTAACCAGCAACCTACCTCTACGCAAGCCCCCTGACATTTTAAAACAAACAATTTTAGTAGCTTTTATCACATATAAAAGAAAATATATAGAACCTAAATCACATTCTCTTTTAATTAAAGTTATTTTTGTAAAATTAATAGTATTATAATTATTTAGCAACCAATCGTCAAAACTATAATACACATAAATCTTTTAAACTGAACTAAATTACTTAAAAAAGTAAATAACATAATCTTTCTCTTGGTTTTAAAATCGAAATATAAAACTGGATATTTACAAAACATATAGTTTTTAAGTAAAATATAAAAATGTAGATATTATATGGAACATAATAATAAAATTCAAAACCAAGAGACCAGACAATAAAGGAATGGCCATAAGTTTGTATAATACAAAGATTATTACAAGTATTAGATCAATATTTTTAACTGTTGTAAGTACTGAATACTAACAGGAAACAAGAAAAAAGCAAAACTTTTTAATATAAGTCTGTGGTTTAATAAAAGTAACGAACAAACTATTACTTCGTTTATCTCATACGAATCTTGCTCAATATACTGAAATATTAATGGCACTGATTTTTGTATGTATGTTATTGGCCATCGCTGTTTATAAGCAACTCGGGTAAGGTGCCCATACATTATTCCAGGAACAAATTCAATTAACGATAACTGTCACCATTATAATTATTGATTGAATATATTACACTATTCTAATTTTTATGAATTGTATATCATTTGGTCTATTTAGTTATTGAACACTCAGTGATTATATAAAATGTGAAAAGTTAATATGTAATCAATCAACCACACTAAATTGGTTTTTCTGCAGGTCTTTTTCCGTTTACATTTACTATAGTTTCCCAGCAAAAATTGTCACTTCCATATACATGTATCTACTTAAATAAAGGTGTTGTGCACAACCTATTATTGAACAGACATTCCTAAAATCTTATTTCTGAACAGACCACCGCCTAATATTTATTTATCATAATATCCCTTAATAAGCATAAATCACGCGAGATTATCATAAAAATATATATGAGTATACAATATTTATTAACCATTGGAATACAGTTTCGTTGAAGCATCTTACATGAATCTCAATTTTAGAGATTTCAAGTATCATAAACAAATACACATTTATTAAGTTCTCAAAATAAATAAAAAAATGTCTATACTGTTAATACATAAGAACATTGAACATTTGGATAGAACAGGAAATTATTTATATTATTATTGAATTTACTTCTAATTAGAAAGCTAACTACAGAATGTGTATTACGCAGTCCATCGAGTAATGTTGGTACAAGACTGCTAACTCCTAACTTAACATACTTAGGTCTTTCTAAGTGGCAGTTCACATCATAAGTGGAATATTATTTGCAAAATGGCATTATCCTGATTACTAACATGATTTTTATCTAAATAGTTGTTACACTGGAATTTAAATTAAATAAAGACTGTTTAAATATCAATGACAAATAACTTTGCCGGAAATGATGAATTAAAATGTTTGATAGGATAAGTAATAATAAAAAGTTCTGTAGAATGTAGAAAACAGAAAACTGGTACAACTTCAAATAAACTGAAAATATTATATTAATCTTCATTTCCAGTGCAATAACTAAATCACATTAAGAAACACTATTTGTGCACATAAATCAAGTAATTATGTATTAAATATCACATGACTTTGAATAAATTCGGATGCACCTTAGTCTAAGAGAACACATCGATGGGTCGAGGTGATACTGTAGCCAATGTGTGCGTTGGGCTGGCCAGTGGATCGGTTACATGAGATTCATTCCTCTTAGCTTCAAGTGTTGCTTGTATTACAGCCTCTTTGTATGGTCCCCGCTTTTTCTTCAAAAATCGTAACTGGAATGCAGAAACAATAGAAATTAAGCTATGTTGCTATGCTATCACAGCGCATTGATGCAAAAACCTAATGATTTCATAACAAATTCAAACTCTCTCTTTTAAAACAAAGTCGCGGGCAAATGTGCGCAATTTGAATGGATTTTAATAAATTGACCCTACAGGTCTACTGAAATTCACAATATGGATGTATGCAGATAAAATCACATTGCATACTGCCCATCAATACATAGTATAAAACAAAGTCGCTTTCGCTGTATGTCCGTATGTATGCTTAGATCTTTAAAACTACGCAACGGATTTTGATGCGGTTTTTTTTAATAGATAGAGTGATTCTTAAGGAAGGTTTGTATGTATAATGCATGCATATTGCACCCGTGCGAAGCCGGGGCGGGTCGCTAGTCACTTAATAAATCACTGAATATTTTATCATTTATGTCTCCTGTAATAGATTATTGCAACCTTTGTAGTAAAATATTATAAGTAATCCATCAAAATGTTCTTATATTTTCATAACATTGCAAATTTCTTGTATTTTCCAGAAATGCCACTATACTGAGTATACTATTATAAATAGGTACACACTATTTGCTAGCATGAGTAAACATAACACATTATAAGGAAAAACCTGTTGGAAAAACAATTAGGTATACTTAATATTTTATTATTAAAACCTTTTGTAAATATTTTGCGTTTTTTTAAATGCTATATTAGAGTGGAAATTAAAAGAGCTTCCTTTTCCTCTTTATAACATAAGTCTATCTAGATGTGATAATTTTTCATAATAATGATTGGTAATTGATTGTTAAATAGGAAGTTTATTAACACGTCGAGTACTGGTTTTGTAGACACAATTATAGAACAATAGGTTGCGGTCACCGGTGACCGCTTGGTGTTTGACAGTTTAATTAGACAAAATATGTAAGATGTTGTAGTTAAAATATATTTATTTCTGCAAATAGTAGAATAGTAAGAGTTTTACACAGCAATTTTTAAATATTACTTACTAGATGAGGGTTGGCATTTCCTAACTGTTATGTTGAGAAGAACCACCAACACAAACTCACAAATAGATGAAATTGTTAAACAATTAATTTTTTAGGACTACTCCTGGCATAGATTTACAGAAATTGTGACT